TCTCTACAACACAAAGATGGAAGTATCTCAAGTTATTTTTACTTCTTCAAAAGCTAGTGTAAAAGTTTTTAACCTATTTCATTATGAGTGTGAACTGTGGAACTTCATCTGAATCTCTAGTTTGAATCAATTCATGTATTTCACAAAAGAAGCCTAATCATTATCTAATGGCAGAGTTATAGCTCCAGTGATTTATCAAAAGCCTCTAAATTGGCCAGCTTCTTCCCAAACATTTCCCAATAAAATACTCTTATACTAACATATACTCTCCCACTTTAAAAGTACCATTAGAGAAGAAAAAATGTTTTTACAAGAAAATATGATCTGCTAAATCTGAATTAACTAGTCTTACTCAAAGACTTTCCATTTCTTAGGATCTTTTAGGATAGACTACAGAACACGCTTCTGTACAGATTCACTCGTTAGAGATGTTTAAAGAACATAAACTCTTTCTTTATAGGTAGTACCTTCTAGTACCTTTCTTGTACCTTTAGAGAGCTCATTGTATGTCTGCAACCACATTTGAGAATAAAAGCTTAGATGCATCCTTCCCCAAAAAGAAAATCTGAAGGACAAATAGAGAGAAAGGAAGAGCAAAAAAAAAAAAACCCCACACACAACCAAAGAGCACAAGGGAACAAGAAGTACTTCTGTTCTTCAGTTCTTGCAATGTTCTGCTGCCTTGAATTACTGCAGCTGGAAGAGCGGCCAGGGAGCCAGATGGTAATATTGATAACCCGGGGTCTCTTGCCAGCAGCCTCCTGCAGGTGCAGGAAGAGATTGGTCAAAGGCTAATGCAGTCTGTTCATTAATGCCATGCTTTCCTGTACCTAACCCCAGTGACCTCTGAGTGGTGAACATCACGCTTCCCTTGGGAAGCTTGTTGACCCAAGAGTCAGGCTTTTGTGGCTTCAATCTTAACACTTTTGTTTGTGGTTCTCAGCCTAAACCACTTTAAAGGGCTATTCTCTACAGGCTTTTGAGCAAGCTGTGTGGCTTGCCATGGTTGTTGACACAGTCAAACTGGAATTCATTTTTTTGCACTAATGCCAATTTGATGTTAATGAGAGGTTAAAAGTCTTTGTTGGCTTTAAAGGTTACAGTCTCTGTACTTGAGCCTTCATCATATCATAGGAGCCCTAGATAATAGAGTTTGGAAGGCACTAAAGGACCCTCATCTCTCAAAAACAAGCATCTTGTGCTTTGGGTTTGGGGTTTTTTTGGAAACTGATCCAGCTCTGTCAGCATGAAGAGAGAGAACAGATCACTGTTCATGGAAACTTTGATTTCAAATCTTTAAAATGAACATGTTCAAAAATATTAACCAAAATGAAAAGTTAAAAACAATAAGCATAAATAGGTAGATTATGAAGATTTCCAGTGTAAATAGGAATTAGGACAGGGTCATACATCTGTGTTGTAAATATTTCTTATAGAGAAAAATAACATCAGAGTTTCTCATATACAAACCAAATTAAACTACTTCTAGAATACATACCCCTGCGTATATAAATTTTTCCATGAGTGCTACCTGTAGAAGGTTCCCAAAGTGTAAGTCATAGTATATCAAGACCTCTATGTTTCAGAAATATGGTGTTAAAGTATAGTGAAGTAAAAGCTGAAAAGTTGGTAATGAGTTAATCCTGTCTGCTTTATAAAATGCTTTGCAGCCTGCTTTCAGGTGGGTGCATGTACTTTAAGTAAATTACACTTCATGTTGCTTGAAAGTAATGAATGCTAATGATAGATAATGGTTTTGTTTCCAATTAGCATTGCCAAGAGAATCAGTGGTTTCTAGAGCTCATGATCACTGTATTTTCCAGGAACAGTCTGAGAAGTATAAAATTAAATAAACAAGTATTATTTATGCTGAATGCATTTGCTGATTGCTTCCTTCTCAGTTGGCCATAATGCAAATGGAACTACCTCTCTCTCTAGTTCAGTAATTTCAAAAAAAGAACATCATGTTTGTAAAGCCTTAATCTTTCACATATTTTTTATAAATATCACCCATTGTTTATTTTGCTGTAAAACAGAGGAAAATGTCTACAACTAAATGTATGTAATAGATTATAGTGACTATTCAGAAAAGTTTGAAATAAAGCAGATGAATGGATAAGCAGTCTAGCCCACAAAATATGATTTTAAGTCTGGTATTTCATAGTAAGAAGTAAGTTTTATTCACACATTCTTCAAAACACTTTTCAATATGAGTTGGCAAGGAATTTTAAATGCCATTTTGGCTCAAATCTACGACAAAGATATTATATTCAGGGAAATAAAGTTGTAGGACTAAGATGACAATCATGTATTATGCTATGAATTGTATGTTTTCAGGAGTGTGTTAAGTATTATGCTCACCAGCATCAAATACCCAGGGTATAACAAATTACTTCCTTTTTATAGTTGTAATACAGATTGTTTCTTATGTTATGATTTTTGTGTATTAATTTAGTATTCTGTTGATAATGTATTTAAGTTCAGAATGTTCACTGCTGGATTTTTATCTCACATCCTTATTATCTCTGTGATTGTATGTTTCTTTCTCAAATAAAAACGTACGACACCAATAATGTAGCAATGAATCTTTTACCTGCTCTTGCAAGTCTTGTGTTCTGCTGATGTTATGTTGGTGGGAAATAGCTCAAGGCCCTCATCAGTGATCACTGAAAGCAGGATTGCTGTTGATAAGTTACTGGCCTTTGGATTGCTCCCCTTTGGAGGCAGCTGCTTAGGTTTGCAAAAACATATCAGGAAGAAGTATTAGCATCTTATCTGCTGGCAGAAGATAGGAGTTCTTGTTTTTCTTTTCTTTTAACATCGCTCACTAGTCCAACACCCTCCTCTAGCCAGGAAAGCAGGCAATATGCCAAAATGCAGCTTCTAAAAGTAGTTTTTCATACAGCTGTCTGCCAGAGCTGGGTGGTTTGTCATGTGTCTGTTCTGACCAGTGCAAGTCATTTCTTATGTCTAAGCTTTGTAGCTATGACTGGATAAATGATTTAACCCTGATGCTGCAGTGCTTTGCTTCACTTACATAATCCTGTAATTTCATTTAATTGGCTACTAAAATAGTTGCAAAATAGAACAGAATTAATATTATGTTCTACAAATAAAAAATGTATTCTTCCTCTTTGTTTCTTGCACCATTTCAATAGGAGAGTTTGTATATTTAGATAATTAGTTTTCAAGCAGCTGGATGGTTTCCATTGTCTGGGAAGTCTTGACATTGCTTGTGTCCTATAGAGCTCGATTTGGCATTGGGAAAAGTCTTCATTGAAGTTAATTTCATTCATGTTATTCTTATGTCCACTTTCTGCAACTGCTTTAAGCAAATGAATTTCATCTCTCTGAGATACTGATGTCATTGTAATTCAATCATGAGTGACTTCTGACTAAACTACTGAATTAATGCACACAATTATAGTTTCATTTTCAAAAAAAACAAAACAAAAAAAAACCAAAAAAAAAAAAAAAAACCCAAATCAATGAATATTTGTAGCCAAAACCTGAGAGCTCTCCCTAGCCATTCAGGGAATGACATGACCCAAGTCAAAACAGCTTGACTGTCAGTTATCAGATGCATGCACTCTGTGTTCTCAAGTGAGATAGAGAATCATTCTCAGAAATTATTCCAGTAATAGTTATGGATATCTATTAAGTTCAAGAAATTAAAAATCTGATTACAGGCTGTTTGTGAGCAAAGATAAAATTAGGTTAAGAAAATAATTGTTACAGATTGCTTGTTTATCTCTATTGCACTTCTGAAGTATTTCTACTTGCCATCCACTGTCAACCAAGCTTCTGTCTCAAGTGTAAACTAATATTTTTAAAACAATAATCCAATATGGAAAATGGCCTGAGCAATAATGTTATAATTATAGAAATATTGAGCTTCTTGCTTTCTTCTGTTCATTTTGCAAGAGTCTCACACAGTGTCCAGGGGAAAGAAGCAGAAGTAACAACAAGTAAAAACTATCAAAAGAGAAAATGTTATATTTTCTGTTGGGTTCACTGCAGATTGAAGAAATACAATCCTGTGTAGTTCATGAAGTTTGCAGATTTTTCTGGGCAAAGACTGATTCTTGTATGCTTACTTGTTATCTGAGAACAGAAGTAGCCTGATCTTGAATTTGGTACCAGGTACCAAAAACACAATGCAAACTATGAATAATAATAGTAGTGAAGCAAAAATGCGAATAATTTCCTTTCCATTTAATTATATCTCAGAGGCTGAATTTTCTGGGTCCCCTCTCCATGTAATAGCTAGGAATTGCTGATTATCAGAATGTAACTATTTTCTGAAATATTTTAATAACATGTTAATATGACTTTGAAAACAGTGAAAAAGTGAGTTTGAGTCTGTTAAGTGTGATTTTGCACTCCTAGACCCTAGTTTATTTCAATTTGTGTTTTATTGATCACTGTATAAAACTTTCCACAGGTGTCCAATAACTATGTAAGGAAAAAGACTGTGGAGAACCAAATTTCTCTCTGCAGGCAGTGGGAACATGCTTCTTTAAGAAACCTGTCAGTGTTTTTGGCAAAGTTAAGTGGTTTACAGATTCAACACCATACAATACAGTCAGCTTTGTGAAAACAAACCACACTGAGTTTGGTGACACATAAGTGTTTAGAATTACAGGTAAATGAGGATGAAACCCCTTTTGTTAGTTTAACAATAGTGAATGATACAGTGGTCTTTTTTTCAGACCTCATTTTTGCAGATAGAATTTTTCTCAGTCTTTGTCACATCTTCAGGTTTATGTATTTAGAATCAAATTTGAGTTTTTATGCTGAGTAGATAAGAAATGTTATGTACTGAATAGCTTTTATTATCACTGATACATTATCTCTCATATCTTTGAATATTCCCTATGCCTGAAACTAGCTGGACTATGCCATCATGTGTTAAAATGGCTTTTATTTTGTGAGCTGTGTTTCTGTTTTGAGTTGGTTACCTATGATAATAGTGACATGGCTATCTGAATCTGTTACAGTGTGCCTGAATATTACGACTATGGTCACGGAACAAGTGAAGAGGCTTATGACAGCTACGGTAAGGTCTCTTCTGTCTCCTGCAAATGTGTGAAATCAAAGGAAAATATCTGTCACTGCAAATTCAGAAATTGCTTCCTTACACTTTCCTTTTTTTCTTTCATTTTACAAAGACCAAACAAAATAGATTTCTGTAATTTTAGGGTGAGTTTTGCCATAGGACCAGAAAATTGGATTGATGAATTTCAATCAAAATTACAAAGCCAGTTATTCACAGTCACAGGTCAGTTTAACAGCAACACAAAAGTTTCTGTTGGTGTTTGAATATCTTTCACAGTGTTAAATTTCAGTCTGCTTGATTTGCCAACAATACTATGCATCTGCTGTTGTCACATGCATTGTTTCAACTAGCGAGGTTTGTGAGATTTAGAAATATAGACTTAATCAAAGTGGAAAGAAGGAGAGGGTGCTGTATCACCATGGGAGCCCCTCCTGCACCAAGATAAAGGAGCATCTCATGTCACACTAGGCAGTAAGAGTAGAGGGAGGGCTGTAGTCTTTGCACTTCCCCACCAAGTCTGTGTCTGAGCTGGAGCAGTTCCACCTCATGGGTATGGGGGGAATGAAAGGAAGAGAAGTGAAAGGAAGAGGAGCTCCCATGAGCACAAATCATTTTCCAGATAGATGTTTGCTATTAGTGATATATTTCAATAACTGGTGTCTAGACCATGTTTTCCTATTCATAATTATCAGTACATTGTATCAGGTGGCACAGTGACTCTTACTCAGAGATTTTCACTGAAATAACAAGTCAGCTTAAAGAGTAACCCTAATATTCAGCAGAGCTTTCATGCCTGATTTACTGCTTCTGTAGTATCCTAAGTCTATACAGTGACTTCCACAGCATTGTGAAAATGAGAGCTGATGGAAATGATGCTGCAAATGAAAGTTACACTAAGGGGTTATATAAGGGTTGCTGCTTGAAATAAATAATTTTATTCATGCAGCTGTGAAGCAAATGTCACTAATGCTAACTTGCAGTTTCCTTTGTATTGGTACAGAAATAGACATTAGTGAGATGTTGTCAAAATGATTGCATTGCATAATCAGAAATAACTTATTCTTTTGTACAATCAGTTCTCACAATATATTTGGATGATACAATGTGCAGTCAAGCACATTTTCAGTGCTAGGCAAGTAATAATAATAGCTAATCCATATCAGTGTGAGTGGTACAGTTACCCTTTGTTTTGCTTCATTTTTGCACATACATTTTTAATAGCTGTAGATCTCCCATCTACAGATCCCCTCTCCACTGATGTCCTGAATGCACTGCTAAGCTTTTAGGCAATGCAGAAAAGAATAGTCTGAGCTCAGCAGTAAGAATTACTCACTGTTTAACTTTTAATTACACTTCACCATGCTGAATCTCCATGTGTTTGGGCAAGACATTTAAAGTAGTGTCACTTTCCTTCCAATCCCTCATTTGTAAAACTAGAAGAATATTACTTGTTTTCCCAGCAGGGATTTTGAATGGACTAATTAGCTAAGGCTTACAAAGTGTTCACAGGGTGGCATCATGACTAAGTTTATGCTCTGCATGAAGCTCCTTTTTTTGTTTTCCATTCAGCAGCTGAAACAAACCCAATGTGCCTGGGTTTCCTTTGCTAGACTTAAAATACATGACTCATAACTGTGAACTTGCTTTGATTTTTGCTTGAACTATTTTCTGAGTTGGAATTTGCATACAAAGATCTGAGTGTTATCAATAACCTGGAATAAACTTAAAGTTGAATAATATTTCAAATTGCAACTTCGCTACTTCCTGATAGTAGATACATTTTTATATAACTGTTTACACTACTCTTAGTTCACCTGCTTAGGAGATTAGTAAATTTGCCAATTTCATGCCCTGGAAATATGTGCAGAAACTTCTGTCATTCCCAAGTCACCACTGTTTATCTGAAGAGGTAATCTGAGTACACAGAACTATAGAGCTCTAGAATATATGCTTAACTTGCTCAGTTTCTGAGTTCTTGCTGCATACACTGATGTTCTCTCTGTATCTGATCTATCACCCCTTCTCATCCTCACCTAACTTTACCCTAATTCCCTTTTTCCAGTTCTCTACTTCTTCAGGATGTTTTGTTTCAGGATGTTTTAATACTGTGGGATTAATTCAGGAGACTCATTGTGAGTCTCCTGAATCCGTTCCACTGTATTAAATCAGCTACCCCTTCATTTTTCACCATCCTGCAGAAATTAAGTTTTTCTTTCATTTGAATTCAATTTCACACCTTGTTTTGCTTTCCATAACAAGGCTATATTCCTCTTTTACAATTCTTTCTGGCATACCTCTGTAATTCAAAATTCTCCCAAAGTCTGAATATGACCTCAGACAAATGGTAATTAAGTCTTGGCAGTGGTAATGGTAATTAAGTCTTGTTGTCAATTCTTAGGTGTTTTGTGCAACAGCTTATCTTTTCTCCATTGTTCTTTTCAATAGCAATATCTGAATTATCAAAAATGTACTAGTTTGACTTTCTTTTACTTTCTTCCATGCATCCTCTTGCTTCCAATTTACCTTTAGGGAGGACAGTTTTCAATCCTGAGAAGGTTTTTTTTTCATTTTTCATGAAGTAGATTCAATAAAATAATAATGCTACTTCATACTTACAATCTTTTTAAAGTATAAAATAGAGTTCTCTGTATCTTCTTAAGTATAGAGCACAATGGTACTGCTGAATGAGCTGCCTGCTATGACTTTCCTTGCTGTCTGTACTCCTGAGAAGTGGCAGGTGGTTTATGTCTCATGGGTTCTTCTCTGCTCCTTTTAAAAGAACTTGTGGAGAATTCTGATTGGGGAAACTGTTTCCTCAGAAGATCATAAGATTTATGGATTTATGGATTTTTCACAGTATGGTTCCAAAAATTAGAGAGGTGTTTCAGAGCAGAGCCCACCTGAACACCATTTAATTCTCAGCAATTTCACATCTCTGATTAGATGGTAGTCTAAGGAGGGATCTAATTCACTTGTCATAAGCTGGGCAAGATGGATTCCTAAACACTGCTGTAAAATCCATAACTTAACTGCCTTAACTCCTTGCTCACTTTCTTTTGTGAGGGTTTGTAAGAATTCCATCCCCTCCAAATCCAGCCAAGGCATCTCCCAAGACAATAGGAATATCAGGGATGTATGTAAAATCACACTGCTTTCCATGACTAAGGGATGTTCCATAAATGAAAATTTGCAGTACAGAACCCCCTCATGAAGTTAGACAAGCGGTGTTGTGATTTGACATGCTTGTCACCCAGTGGCTCAGAAGGATCAAAGTAGAGACACTTCAAAGCATTCCCTGTAGCAGTCTCTGAGCACATGGAAATACAGCACTCAGGAATTATGAGATTCCTACAAATTTTTTATAATATCAGGATTATGCAGCTACTGCTAGAGGATTTTGAGGATCGCTGTTCTAGGCTGAGGAACATAAATTTGGGAAAAATGCCTGAAAATCTTGGGAATGTAGCCCTTATAGGCTTCTTCATGTGAGTTGTAAAGAAATATTTTTAGAAAGAAGTTTAAAAATAAAAGTAAAGTACTGTACAAATTTTAAAAAATGTAAAACATCCTTACCTCTAATGCCTCAAACAAACATTTATGATACTTCTGTGACTGAAAGTTTTGATACCTGCAGATAAGTCTAAACTAAGGTAACAGTGTCATGTTAACTTGATGCTTATGTTTCAAGGGAGAAAGCATGAAATAGGATTAATTTATGAACAAAAGGTTTATATTCTCTGTTCTCATCATACATTAGTAATTTTGTGGTTTCCCTTCTGGCACTGTTGTCATCTGAAGAGATATCTAGTAAAAACATTAATTTAATGATTTGTCTGACAAATTGATTAGCATAAAACATATACCAAAAGTTTGATAACTAAGAACCTTTCCTGCTCATATGTAATGTTGTGCCCAGCTCCAAAAGGCTCCAAAACTCCCCTGGAAAGTGTAAACAAACTGTAAATAAAAAGCCCTTTGTTATCAATTAATTTTCTCATTCTTTCTCCTTTTCCCTGTTTTTTGTTTTTTAGAGGAAGCAGTATTCTTGATTCAAGCACTGTGTTGTGTTAGGCCACATTAGAGAGATAACAGAGAAGAGTATATGACTTGCAGGCAAGGCAGAACCAAGAAGCTGTATTCATTACATCTGACCTGCTTCACTGTTTTTTCATCTGAATCCTGTTTTGCCCTTGTACTGATCAGAGCATTCCAAACTTTGTTTATCAGCGTCTCTTTCTGCCTTAGCTCTGCCAAAGGCTGGAGGCTCCAGTGATGAGCTCTGCCAGTTGCTGCTGCTGCCGAAGGTTCAAGAGGCTTCGTCCCTGCCTCCAAAGGGACACTGCCACAGTAGTGAGAGTGCCTCTTGTCAGGTGCCACAGTTCACAGCCTGGTGCATATCCTGCCTTGTGTATTACCTGCAAATTATGGCCATTGTGTTTTTGTGCCAGGCCGTGAACTGCAGTATCTGAAAGACCAGTACTCTCTGACTTCTTGTGCTACTACTGAAAAAGCAGAAATCCTAGACAGAGAGTGAAAGGATAGGTTGAAGTCTATAACCTCCTAAACCACCACAATTAAATTAGGATAACACCATCTGCCAAAGGCCTTAGGCAAGAGTTAGAAAGTTTGCTTTCTGTAGCTTGCCACCTACACAAAAAGGGAAGGCATACATGAACTCCAGTCACATTGCTGCTGCTTTTCAGGAGAAGCTTGCAAGGCTTTTACTGCATGTTCTGTCATTGCATTAAGAAAATATTATTTAAATATTTTTTGTCTTCACCAAAAATTTTCAACTGTTTGGATTTTCTTAAATGACCATTTTTTTTATGCATATTCTACTGCAGTTTAGCATTAGGTACTTGTAAAGAATTGGTTACTTGGTTTTAGGATAATTCCATTTTTAACTAAAATTGGAGAGTGTAACTGTTTGGTGTAATTCCTTTTAATGTAAGACATCATTTAGGTTGTAAAATGCTCTCACAATGATTTAACTATTTCAC